GTGTTGTTTTATGGTTTATTTTGGTTAGAATTCTAGTTCTGTTGACATTTTCAAGTTGGCAAGAGAGTTACGACTGAAAAATATTAACTACAATGTATACCACAGCCATTGAATTATAAACAACGTAACTGGAAGGGAAACCGGAATAGGCGACAAATGCGTACCGTTGAAGCCGTGCGATAGAATGAGGTGGTGGTATAACTATTTCAGTCACACTCATTGCGCCGAGCTTGGTTATTAGCACGCCTGATAGAAGCAGAAAATAAGACTCTTTTATGTAAATGAATTTCATGTTACTAGTGGGAAAGAGATAAAGATACCACCACTATTCTGGCTTCACTAATAATATGCTTGTTTCCATTCCATACGAATATATAGTTCAATGACCACAGCTGATTCGTCCGTAAGTTCGTCCACCATTTTGGAGCCCACTGACAATTAACGTTTGCAAAACGTTGCATGTTCTGCATGTATTGCCTTATCATTTAAAGAAAAACCGTTGATTTGTTCAACGTTTATTAATGTATAGTATTTAAAGTAATTTTACACAATAAACAATTTTTCTGTGCACAGATTTTGGACTGTCAGTGGGCTCCAAAATGGCAGACGAGCCTGCTACCTTAATCACTGTACTACTGTATGAAAAATGGTGACGTGTAGTCATGTAAGAGTTCAATCTAATAACCAGATGTAACAATAGGGTGAACGAGTCACTCTTTCAATGCACATAAAAGTGAATTCTTCCCTGTTTCAAGAAAACCAACTTTTAAATTGTGAGAGTTGTAATTTTTGTGGTATGTTAAATATGCTTGCTCCTTTGTTTGATCTTGTTAACAGAGTCTAATTGTAGTTTGCATGTATTGATATGTATAGTATGTTGAATTGGATAGGTTTATTTTTTGTAAAGGAGCATTTACCATAGTTTCCAGAGAGGGCAGGACCAGATTCTAGGTGGGATTAAACCCCGGCTGACTATCACCAGGCTACGGGCCTGTAACGCGTTACCTTTAACACTGATACAGCAATGAATTATAGTCATCCGGTACCAAATGATTAATATACTACCCGCCATTACAGTGTTAAGAGACAGTGTGGTCATACGGTGGTGTTATTTTTTATTGGTAGTTGGGAGATCCGCCATGTATTGGCCAAATATACAGGATTGGTGGAAATTACGCTAGAAACCAAGGTGAGGAATTTATCTTGCTGGATATAAATGTGGCAGCATTATTGTAAATTAAACCAATTCCCAATGATAAATTGAAAAAAAACATGGCCTACATTATGACCACAGTCACTGTACCCGCCATAAGCGCAGTGTACTTTGATCAATTTTGAATCGCTGCTAAACTTTATTTTTGGTCTCTCCTTATAATGAAACATGATATTTTCGTAAAACTGAAAAATGATAAAAGATTTGAAAAACTTCCACATGTGTGTATCTTTGTTGTGTATTTATACAAATATTTCCTATTGTATTAATTGCCTTAGGTTAGTACACATTGATACAGGGTAACAACATTTTGTCATATCTTTAAGTGCTTTGCGATTAAATTGATTAATGGATATTTTACAATCGATACACTGAAAATATTTGTTCAATTTTCTGTGAAAGGTCAATATTATTATCAAGTTAGTTCAAGATATGATTAAAAAACGATCAATACAGATGGTTTCCATTGGAAGGGAAGTCAACATCTTACAACTTGGCAACTGATTGAATTAACCCCGGAATTAAGTAATATCCCTAGACCTGTATGGCGTATGTCGTATCTGTATATTTAATTCATTTACTGGTATTTATTTATGATTTTGGAATAACTTTTTATTACCCATTTCGTTAGCTAGGTATTTCCGAAAATTACAGTCATTGGGTAAATGTTTTGTATGCAGTATAGTTGATTTTTAAATCCTTGATGTAATTGCGAATACTATCCTACAAACCCCATGAAAAGCATCTAAGACATGATCGGTAAACAGTTCTGCTCAGTATTCCTATGAATGTTGAAATACTTGACATAATAATTAGAGCAATTTATAAAAGTGTTTACTGACAAGCAGTGTTGTAAGAATACAATCACCACAAATAAGTAAATGTTATTGTTTCACTTTATCTCAACTTTAACCTTTGTTTGACGCAGATGCGATACTTTTACTAACTCCTATTTGTTCCAATTTGTATCATAATTATGACAACGAAAATATCTGTGTTAACTCTGCTGCCTTACCTGCCAAGGTGTAATCCATATCGAAGCCATAGAACTTGATATTTTCTAGATGCAAACTTCGGTTCACAAAGATCCTGAAAATAAAATAAACAAATCAGTACCTATTAGGTGAAGTAGCTAGTTTCATAAATAAATAAAACTGAACAAGTTTGCATGACGCTACTAATCGTTCATTAAAATTTTATGCATTTGAAAATGTCACTCAAGGATCCACAATTGGGCCTGTATTATTCTGTTTCTTCATTTCGTATTCATAACGCCACCTGTTGGTCACCGTAACTAGTAAAATAAACACATACAAATCCTTTCTAAACTCCCCTAAGCTTGGGGTGAAATAAAAGGAAACCTTTCACATCACAGAAGGCATTTCATGTGAAATCCTGATTGAATTACTGTGGTATAGGTCCCTTATGATTATAGATGTTTGACAAACAGAAACAAAATTATAACTGTATTTTTTCTTTGAGAACAGGTGTTTAAGCAGATATAGGTAAGCAGGAAATGTCATACGGCAAAAGTGTCAATAAATGAATGTAATAGAAGCTTTGATAGCACGAATGAAAATCCTCTTGATTACTTAAATAGTTAAATATTTATATTTGTAAGTACCTAGTCCCAGTAAAAAATAGATTTTGTAAAGATGTAAAAGAGTCCAAAATTTCTTTCACTTTGTGTAGCTGTAGAATGAATGGCCAATACAAAAATAACCATTAATAGTTCAATGTGATTAGCTATTTTTGTCAAAACCGATGGAGCGTTTCACAAAGAATGTTTTCGTCATCTCGCAGTACAAATATTTATATTACCACTCAAAAGTTAAACTTTAAAGTACCTATACATAATTCTGAATATGTAGCATCAATGAAATTCAAATGGAAAACTTATTTCCGGCCGAAAAGTTCGTTACTGTCGTCCTGTGCTTTTTGAATGCTTGTTGTTAGCTTATCTAGTAATTTCAACATAGTTTCACACATATGCACTCTACATAATTTTTCCATATTAAGCTTATACAGTGTGTCAACATTTCTTATGCTCCACTAAGTATATCAGACATAGACCAAATAACGGGTTTTGCAAAATTCTGATCCGATTTCAAATATCATTTTAAATACTTATATTCTCATTTTTTCAAGTGAAAAAATGAAAATTTACCGTGGAAACCATTAATTTCTCGTAATATCTTGTTGGTGTCAATAAACAACCTCAACAAAAGCAATATTACCACCTTAAAAAACAAAATGCTAATAACAATTGAGAATCGAGGCTGTCGACGTCAAAACATTTATGTTTAAAATACCATAAAATAAAGTAGTTTTAAACAATGAAAAATTAACAGTTTTCACAAAATTCGTAAATACGAAATCGGTAAATTTTCGATTATCTCATTTATCTTGGTAATTTAAAAAAATGACATTAAATTTAAAATGATGTTCGAATTCGGCTCAAAATTTTGAAAAACTAATTTAACCTTCTACCTATTTCTAGTTGTCTCGACGACATAAATAACCATAGCCTTAAGTGTGCCACTTTTTTTGGAATTTCAGCATCCTTTTAACTTCTACGGTTTTCAAGATTTTGATACTGTTCACCTTTATCCCAAAAGCGCCCTGTATAATCAATATCTCTAACCTACCTAGTATTTATATTTCCGAGAAAGATAATGATTCACATAATATGAATCTACAGCTATTTGTCTCAAGTAGTTTGTAGTTTACACATGCTATCAGCTACTTAACTAATTTAACTATGTATGAGAGTTGTTTAATTCATTTTACAACAGCTTACAAGTTACAATGTTACTTTACTGCAACGACCTACTTTAGGAGTAAGAACACAGTTTTAGTTGTATAGCAGGCTATATACCGAGCGTTAAGTTAATTGGATAAATGGAAACCTAAACTTCACGAACATAAGAAAACCTGCTACCATTTCTTTGCTCAAATCAGGGCCGCTATTACCCTACACCAGCCCATTGAAACATTTGCATAATTTTCAGACACGTACGGCAATCAAATCAGTGTGACCAAAAACTATTTCTCTTCGGCATACAATTAAAAACCCGCTTTGGGCCAGGTCTCCAGAGCGCGCCCGGCCTCTGGGATATTTACCCCCCGCCCTTACAAGGGTCGATGAGAACAGACAAAGATTAATTTTAAAAAACCAAGAGAAATGCCAGAAAATACGATGTTTATAGGCGTTGGCCGGTTATGAAAAACGTTTAACCATTCCGTTATCGCTATCGGTCGCATGACTTACTCTCTTGCCTTCTCCTCACGACGCGACGGTTCTCAAAATTTGAGACGAAATTGAGATTAGTATGGAAACTTACGTTAATCAAGAGGCACCAGTTAAATCTTAAGAATGTTTGAAAACCTTGACATTAGTTTGATTCCAAAGGATCCAAAAGGAATAGGGATACGCCAGGATGTCTATCCTAAGTTTTCGACCTCAAGGGCCGTGTGCCAACTTGAAGGGGGAGCAAAAACCACAACATTTTCGGCCTTTTCCAGTTTATTGCTTATATCTCGTAAACTAAGAATATTTTTGTATCATAGTGCATTCCAAATTTGTAGGGTATAAAATTTCCTAAAGTCAGATTGAGGGCAGTTGTCGTTGTCGCATGCTGTGCCTACGCAGAGCAAAACAGCGACGCGACGAGTCGTGTACTTGCAGCGGATTATGTACAGCAATTGTTCTGGGACAGCATCATCGTGGTGATGCACTATCAATGATATTGCATTTTCTTTTCCTTTCACCAAGCAGAACCCTGGCAACTGTAACTGGGTTTCCCTATGCAGAAATTTGAAAGAAGGCAGAATCTAAATTTAGGTACGAATGTAACCTTGAGCGTAAGGACGTATGTGTGTTTTAGCATTGCAAGGAAATTAACTGTTTCATTTATTATCATCCAAGTTAGTATTTTATTCAACCGCTATTTAAGCGCCACAGTACAAATAAGTTTGGGAAGCCCTTAATAGGATAATACTGCTTTACGTATGTACAGGGTGGCCAACTAAGAATGCGAGGTACTGTATCTGTGAACCTATTCATCGTAGATACTTGCGGTAAAAAAAGTTATTACTAAAACGTAAACGGCCACTAGGAGGCGTAACTGAAATCTGGAATCTACAGAAGTGATGTTTCTGTGAATTCCGCTATATTAACTTAACAAAAAAAGTCCGGTCTTTGAAGTCGACGATAATCTGAACCTTTTTTGTTTAACAATTTTTCCTGTGTCTCTAAAAATGAAGTGGGGGGGGGGTATTCAAAGGTTTCCGTAAAGAACACCCTGTATCTTCGAAACGGCTGAGCCGATTTAAACAAACTCGGGGTACTTTAAAAGAGCTAGCCTTCAGCTACAAATATTATAACATTTGAATTTTTGTTAGTTTCACATATTACCGCTTGAGGGCTTTTTTCGACATTCCATCAGAAATGGTTAATTTTCTCAAAAAAATTAAATGCATTGGTTCGATTTTTTTTATCTTGAAACATATATATGACATAGATACATAGATAGATATATATCGTGATGGTCAGTATTTCGAGCTTTTACGGCGGCATTAAATGCTTACTTTTTTAAATCGACCCACCTTAGGGTCACAAATTATATAATAAAAATAATTCCGGAAAAATTAGCTTAATAAAATAAAATTTTGAGGGTTTAAATTTTCTTTGGCCTAAATTTTAGGTTCTATTCTATTCTATTCTATCAGGGGAGCCTTTACAGGCAGCACTTAGGCTCATCAACGGCCCATTGTGCTAACACCCTCTCTAAACAACCAAAGCTTAGAGCCCGTTCCCTTCAATGAAGGATAAGACCCTATTTAGCCTTAGTTTCCTCACCTCCCTCGGTTCCAAGTAACTGTCACCGAGGAGTTTATGTCTGTCCCTGATCAGAGCATCACAGTAACAGACTACATGCTCGGTAGTTTCCTCTACCTCACCACAAAACCTGCACGCAGGGTCTTCCACAAGCCCAATATTGTGCAGGTGATAGTTGACCATCCAGTGTCCCGTGAAGACACCGACGATCTTCCTAATCTGACTTCTGTTTAGGTTTAGAAGCTTAGAAGACTCAGATTTGCCAAGAGGCCCTGTTAAAAAGGTCTTGGACTGTCTGAGTCCAGCTGCCTGTTGCCATTGAGCCTGGAATTGACTGATCGCCCAGTTCTTAATCCTGACCCTGACAACTGAGGGAGCAATTCCAAGGGTGGGCTCAGGCCCGACAAGGACCCCACTACTGCCTTCGCGAGCCAACTCGTCCGCCCTTTCGTTGCCCCCTATTCCAGAGTGCCCCGGCACCCATATCAAGCTTACCCTATTAGACTCACCTAATCTATCTAGGGTTCGCCTACAGTCAAGCATCGTATTCGAGCGGACCCTGTCAGCTGACAGAGCCTTTAACGCCGCCTGACTATCACTACATATGTATATATGCTGGTTACGATAACCTCTACGGAGGTTTTCTTGCGCACAGGTCGTGATGGCTAGCACCTCTGCCTGAAACACAGTACTGTGCTGGCCAAGGGAGAGGCTGATGCCTACTCTCGGCCGGTCACCGTGTATACCCATGCCCGTTCCCTTTTCCGTTAGGGACCCATCGGTAAACCACACGAGCCCCTCAGGTTTTAGGTTAGGAACAAGATATCGAGATGCGGTTTTCGCGAGCTTGTTTAGGCATCATTTAGCTACTTTTTCATGAAAAAAAATCAAACCAATGCATTTAATTTTTTTGAGAAAATTAACCATTTCTGTCCGAATGTCGAAAAAAATCCTCAAGCGGCGATATGTGAAACTAACAAAACTTTAAATATTATAGTATTTGTAACCGAAGAATAACTCTTTTTAATTAACCCGTGTTTGTTAAAATCGGCTCAGCCGTTTCGAAGATACAGGGTGTTCTTTACGGAAACCTTTGAATAACCCCCACCACTTCATTTTTAGATACAGGAAAAATTGTCAAACAAAAAAGGTTCAGATTATCGTCGTCTTCAAAGACCGGACATTTTTTTGTTAGGTTAATGTAGCGGAATTCACAGAAACATCACTTTTTTAGATTCCAGATTGCAGT